CCCCAGAAGTCATTGTCACTGGGTCAAAGTCAAGGTGGCAGCAGGGCCATGCTTCCTCCAGAGGCTCCAGGGGAGGGTCCTTCCTGTCTCTTTCAACTTCTGGGGGCCCCAGACATTCCTGGGTTTGTGGCCGCTTCACTCCAGTCTCTGCCTCCATCTTCACGTGGTCACCTCCTCTTCTGTGAGTGTCGAGTCTCCCTCTGCCTCCGTCTTACAAGGACACTTGTAATGACATTTAAGGCCCACCTGGATAATCTAGGAGCATCTCCCATCTCGAGATCCTTAAATTAATCGTATCTGCAAATTCCTTTTCTGCCACATAAGAGAACATTCACAGGTTCCAGAGGTTAGGACGCAGATATCTTTTGGGGCACATTATTTAGCCTGCCACACCATACAATGGAATATTATGCAGCCATGAAAAGGAGCGAGGCCCTGACACAGCTACATGAGGATGGACCTTGAACACACGACGCTCAGGGAGAGAAGCAGACACAGAAGGACACATGGTGTGTGATCCCATTGACGTGAAACGTCCAGAACAGGCAGATCCACAGAGAGAGCAGGCTCGTGGGAGCCAGGGGCTGTGGGGGAGGCGGGGGCGACTGCTGATGGGGATGGGGTTGCTTTTGGGGTGACGAGAATGTCTAAGATTTTATTGTAATGACAGTTGTCCAACTCTGCGAATATGCAGAGTCCGTGAACTGCACACTTTCAACAGGTGAGTTGTATGGTGTGTGAATTCTAACAGCACCAGCCCACTTATTTCTTCAAATTTCAATAAAATTAGTTTTTGAAATGTTTGATTTTAAAACAAAGGGCAGCCAACACGTGTTTTTAAAAATCTATCTCATCTCCAGTTCTCCGATTCTGGAAGCTGTGCGCACACACTCAGGCATGCGCTGTTGAAAGCTTTCCTATCGATCAAGACAAGACCCCAACTGGCACCTGCCAAGGGTCCTTGCAGAAACAGGGACATCAACGTAACGTTCCTCACTCCACGTGTAGGTTTGACATCCCCACCCAAGGCATCTTTGGAGAAAAAGACTCCATAAATCCAACGAATAAACAGAGTTGCCAGATTTAGCAAGTAAAAATACACAACACCCAGCTACCTTTAAATTTTATGTACATATTTTTTTAGCATGCAATGGCTGGGAGGTACTTATGCTAAGTTATTAATGATGTATCTAATGATATATCTAGTATGTTCTCATTATCTATATGCTATGTATCTGATAACATAGCTAACTTGTATTCATTATGTATATAATCCGTGTCTAATAATTTGTATCTAATATATGTCCAATAATGTAATCCTGTATTTTACCTGCAAGCCCTAATCTATAACGCTGCTGCTCATGACACTGGACTAGAGGCGGCTTAGTGAGGAGCTTGAAAACTCACTGTGATATTGTTATGGCTGAATGGCGCCTCCCAAAAAATTATGTTGAAGTCCTAGCCCCCGGGACCCCGTGAGTGTGACTTTATCTGGAAACAGGGCCGGGCCAAGAATCCCAAGCTGTCGTCCTGTCAGCACTTCGTCTGAGACGCGCTGGTCCCGTGGCGGGACAGCCCCTGTGGACGGCGCCCGCTCACCAGCCCCTGAAGAAATAACCTCGCCAAAGGCGACCCAGTGGTCACTGAGGTGTGCGGCTCGACAGGTCTCGGTTCTCAGGAAGGAATGTCTTGCGTAAAAAGGAAAACCCAGCTCCGTTTGCCCAAATCAGAACTGGAATGCCAGGAGACGGTGGAGGGAGAACGACGGGCTGGGCTGATGGCGGGAGCAGGTGCCGGGAGGGGCCACCCGGCCCTGGGTGCTCATCTCCTCCTGCCGCGGCCCACGGCCCGAGGGACGTCCTGCCCAGCACACGGAGGCTCTGGAGGGAACTCGGCCTGCTCTGGGGGGTGGTCTTCCTTTCCTCCGTTCCTGTGCCAGCGGTGAGCCCACACTGGGTGCGGCTCCGAGCACCCCAGGGAGCAGGTGGACCCTGCCCTGGCCTCTTCCAGCAATGATGGTGGCGATGCAATTAATCTGTGTCCATGGGCCTCCCCGGGGGTGATTCTGTTCCCCTGGGACACTGGGTCATGTCTGGGGACATCTGTAGTTGTCACAACGGGGGCATCGAGTGGGTGGGGCCAGGGATGCTGCTCAACCCCCCACAGTGCCCAGGACGGCCCCACAGAGAGTGACCCGCCCGATGTCAGCAGTGCTGAGAGGGAGACCCCGCTCTGCGGGGTTAAAGCCGGTCAGGCCACGAAGGGGTCAGCGCAGCCATCAACGGCCCCGAAGGCCAAGTTAGGACCTGGGCGCCCGGGACAGCTGGTAAAATTAACTTTTCCCCATCCTCCAGGACGCAACGATGGACGGCGCGCGCGCTCCCCTCCGCAGGGGGTCGGCGTCCCGGGGAGGCGAGCAGGTAGACGAATAACGACGGTACGGCGGGAATCAGCGAGGCAGCGCTGCGGCGACAAGCTCCCTGCGGGTCGGGACTGACCGCTGGCTGGGCTGGACTGAACGGCCCCACAATTCACGTCCACTCGGAACGTCAGACGGGGACCTCGCTGGAAGCAGGGTCTCTGCGGACGTCCTCAGCGGAGGCGCGGTTGAGCTGGAGTGGGACGGCCCTCATGCGGTGACGGGCGTCCCTGCAGGAAGCGGAGACACACGGCCACGGAGGAGAAGGCAGGCCACGTGAAGGCCGAGGTGGAGACGGGAGGACGTGTCCCTGAGCCCAGGATCGCCAGGGCCCCGGGAGGGCACAGCCCCGCCCACGCGAGGTCGCAGATTCTGCAGAACCGTGAGCTCATAAACAGCTGTGTTCCGGAGCCACCAGCTTGCCGTTCTCGGTCACAGCGCCACAGGGCACTCCCACGCCAGCCACACCGCACCCGAGTCGGCTCTGTTGGAACCTGGGCTCGCTGACGGGTCCGGGCTCTGGAGCGGGACTCGGTTTCCCGTCCCCGCTGTGCCCTGGACCAGGGGCCTGGCCGCCCTCCGCCTCGGTCCCCTCGTCCGTAAGAGGCCGTGGTCCGCGAGCCCCGTCTGCTGGGCGAAGCCTCTCCCTCCGTCTGAGCTGGCTCGTGGCCCACCCTCAGCAGGAGACGTGGCGGGAAGGAGGCCTGGCAGTGTCCCCGCCGTGCCCTCGGAGCCTGAGTGCCATGTGACAGGTCGAGTGCCAGGTTGGCTCTCCGGGGGCCGGGGGCGCGTGCAGAGGCCGCGGGGCGAGAGCGGCTCGGGGCCCAGACCCGCAGGCCGAGCTGGCTGCGCCGACAGGCTCGGTGGGGCCCCGTCGTGCGGGGACAGCGGGAACACCGCGGCCAACTGTCACACCGCCTGCTCGGGGCTGTGGCGGGCACAGAGCGCACGGTCAGGGCGTGCTCCCATGGCTGTCGCCTCCGCGCACACCTGGCTGTCCCCACGGTCACTCACAGGCCCGCCCGGAGGATGCACAGGCGTCCCAGGTCACCAAGACGCACGCGGCCCGAGAAGCTGCCTCCGGGACCGCAGCCCAGCCGTGAGGTCCATGCTCCGTGTTGGTGGCCCAGGTTCACGGGTTGGGCCTTCCCCCCCCGACAGCCATGCTGTGGCGGCGCCTCACACACCAACACGCAGGCAGCACGCCGCATTCGGGGCCAGTCTTCCTCAGCAAAAAAAAAAAAATCTGCCCCTCTGCTGGAAACGCACCAGAAACGCTTCTCTCCGGACTCGGACGCGCAGTGACGTGGCTCTGTCCTCGTGTGGCCACCGCGCCTCCACTGCCGGACACCGAGGGGCCCGACGGCTCCCACCAGACAGACAGTGCATGGTCACCTCTGTCCCTTGACACGAAGCCGGTGCTGGATGCTGCGGGCCGGTGGCAGAGCTGCTCTCGCGGCACCTGACGGGGCGCCAGTCACAGGTCAGAGGACACCAGTCATACCCCAGCAGCCCGGCCACCCCCAGCCACCCTGCCGGGCACCAGAGCGGAGGACGCTCGCGGTCGTCCTGGTTAACGTGAGACGGCGACACGGGCAGCGAGACGGCTCCCGGACGTGAACCACAGCGAGGTGACAACGGGGGCGCACCCCGGGGTGCCTGTCCTCCCCCAGCACGGCCTCCCCCTGTCAGGCCAGCGGTCACAGGCCACCCCGGGAGCAGGGGGCCGCACGGCCTGGGGACACCAGGGACCCCGGGGCGCCACTCGCACATCTGAGGTGACGGAGGCGCGCCAGAAAGCAAGCGGGCGGTGCGTGGCCCCGCGTCGGGCAAAAGGGACGTCACAGTGACGACTACGCAAAGAAGCGAGGCCAGGGGACCGTCCGCCCGGGAGGGCACACGCCGCCACTCCGCGCCTCAAGCTTGGCCGGCCCTCGGCCGGAAGCGCCTCCCTCACGGGCACCGCGGGAATCTCGAAGGTTCTGGAAGGCTCTCGAAGGTTCTCTCGGCGTCCTCGCCAGGCCGCGCGGGTCCGACTAGAGGGGGAGGCAGGAGGCAGCGGGCGCCGGAAGGCGGGGGTGCGGGGAGCTGGGCCGGGTGCCTCGAGGGCGCGCGCAGCCCGCCGTCAGGCCAGCAGTCAGTCCGTCCGTCAGTCTGTGCCCACCCGTCTCAGGTCCGCCCGCCAGCCAGTCAGTCAGTCAGTCAGTTAGTCTGCGCCCGCCCGCCCGTCAGTCGGCCCGTCAGTCGGCGCCAAGTTGCGCCCGCTCGCCCGCCCGTCGGTCAGTCAGTCAGTCTGCGCCCGCCCATCAGTCCGCCCGTCAGTCTGCGCCTGCCTGCCCGCCCGCCCTTCAGTCAGTAAGTCAGTCAGTCTGCGCCCGCCCGCTCGCCCGTCGGTCAGTCAGTCAGTCTGCGCCCGCCCGCCCGCCCGCCAGTCAGTAAGTCAGACAGTCTGCGCCCGCCCGCCTTGCGCCCGCCCGTCAGTCAGTCGGCCTAGCGCGCGGCCGGGCGGAAGGGGCGGAGCCTCGGTGCGGGCGCGGGAGCCCATTGGTTGGCGGCAGGGGCGGGGCCTGGCGGCGCTGAGAGGCTGGCCCCGCCCCCGGCCCGCGGGGAGCGGCGGCGGCGGCGGCGGCGGCGGCGGCGTTGGTGGTGGAGGCGGTGAGCGCGAGCGCGGGCGCGGGCGGCTGGGGCCGCGCGGGTGTGGCCGCCGTTGGGCTGCCGCGGCCTCCTCGCCCTCCGCGCCGGGCTCGGGGACGCCGCGCCTGGAGGCCGGGCGCCCGGTGAGCCCGGCGGGCTGCGCCCCTCGCGTCGGCCAGGCCGGGGTTGCGGCGGCGCGGCGGCGGCGGCGGCGGGCGGGGGAGGGGCGGACCCCGGGAGAGGCGCCGCCGGGGCGCTGGAGGGAGCCCCGCCTCTGGGCCGGAGCTCGGTCTCTGCGGCCTGCACCCCCCCCTCTGCTGCCTGCACCCCCCCTCTGCTGCCTGCACCCCCTCTTCTGCTGCCTGCACCCCATCTCAGCTGATTGAACCCCCTCTCTGCTGCTTGCACGCCCTCCTTTACTGCCTGCACCCCCTCTCTGCTGCCAGAACTCCCTCTCTACTGCCTGAACCCCTTCTTCTGTCTGCACCCCCTCTTTGCTGCCTGCAGCCCCTCCTTTAGTTCCTGCACCCCCTCTCTGCTGCCTGCACCCCCTCTTCTGCCTGCATCCCCTCTCTGCTGCCGGAACCCCCTCTCTACTGCCTGAACCCCCTCTTCTGTCTGCACCCCCTCTTTGCTGCCTGCACCCCCTCTGCTGCCTGCACCCCCCTCTCTGCTGCCTGAACCCCCACTCTGCTGCGTGAACCCCCACTCTGCTGCCTGAACCCCCTGCTCTGCGACTGAACCCCCCTGAGCTGCTGTGGTGGACCCCCTTTGCACAATGGAACCCCTCCACCTCCTCTGGGTTCCTGCTGACAGCCCGCCTGTCCTCCCCGTCGCCGTGGGGACGGTCGCTCTGCAGCTGGCCCGGCCTTTCCGGGCCACGCGGATGAGAGAGCAGCCGGCGTCCTGTCCTCGGTCTCATGTCTCTGCACGGGGTCGACTGCTCCCTCCGTAAGCGCCCGTGGTTTCAAATGCCTCTCGTGCCGAGGCGGGAGGCAGGCCCTCAGCACGGAGACGATTTATTCGGGAGCCTTTTAAAAATCATCTAGGCAGAACCTTTGGGAAGGCACGTGGCTGTATCTTACTTATGACAAAAACCCAGGCGCCTCCCGAGGCCCCACGGCCCGTGGTTCCCTTTTGGCCTTGAGCATCGGCGCGAGGTGACGGAGTTGGCCTGGCTCCTCAGCCGGCCGAGCCCGCTCACCTCCGGCTCACCTCCCGCCTCGCCGGCTGTGTCTGCGCTCCACGCCAGCAGACGGTGCTCTCAGCCGCCGTGCAAATGTCGTTGCAGGGCACCACGCGCCAGACCTTCGAGTACTTTGTTTGTGCCAAATCGTCCCCTCTTGCCACATGAGTGTAAATCATGACGGATGCCAAGTATGTCCTCTGCAGATGGAAAAAGCGATTATGGCCCGCGAAGGTGACAGCCATTATTCTATAATTTCAGGAATTAGAAAGGACTTTCGGGTGACAAGTAAAATCTTTATCAGGAGGTACCTAGGCGTCGCTCCGGTGAAATAATTGAGCCTGAACAGTCAGTGTCCGGATCTGTTGGCACCGATTCTCGTTCCCCGTTTATTGGGGTTTTGGTCGAGTGCTTACAAGGTTACGCTTCCAGAAGTGTCTTTTTTTTCACACTGGGGAAAAAAAAAAAAGATTCCCAGTCAGCTATAAAAAGGCATGTAAGGCTGCGACTCCAGGAACTCTGGCAAGGAGCCCTGTGATGGTAAATAAATAGTGCGAGCCTGTCGGGGGAGACTTTCCAGCAAGCGGCGGGGTAGCAAGAAGGCCGAGCCGCGAGGCACAACCCGGGTCCCCCTGTGGGTCTGCCACTCACCTCTTGTGCCTCAGTTTCCCCACCTGCAAATAGCAGGGGTTAGACAGACTGACTACCTCTCAAGTCCTGTGGTTGGAAACTTTATCAATGAGCTGCTACATTTGTGTCATTATGTTGCCGCTGCTGCTTACTTTGTGTCAGCTGTTTGTTGTATCTTAATAAAAGGATCTTTTTTTTTTTTTTTTTCTTTTTAAACATAGGTTTTGGCCAGACCCGAGGCTTCAACAAAAAATAAGAGAAAGAAGGAATTTTTTCTAAATGTTGAAATAATCTCCCTAGACAAAAAGTTAAGTGTTGTGTTTTTGCGATATGGATCTCTATTTTTCTGTATGGGATTTCTGATACCGCACCCCCAACCCCCCCCCCAAAAAAGATGCAGTCCACTCTTAGGGGCTTATTCACTCTTTAGTTATTGTAACAGTGCATGTAATCGCTGGAAGAGGAAAACAGCTGACTTTATTTTATGTGAATTTGGAAATCAAAGATTTGTACGAGGCATTCTGTGTGATCTCCAGAGAGATCGGTACAAAAATGGAACGAATATAATTTACACACAAGGTAAACTCCCATTGGGGTTCACATAGGGATATTTCCTTGCCACAGCTTTATCAGTGCGTCTTTTTTTTTTTTCAGAAACTTGTGTGACAGGCCTATCAGTTTGGAAATATTTAATGTTTGAGCCTGTCAGTCTAATAAACTATGGTTTGGCTTTCAAAAGGCAAACACGCGACTCTGGGGCAGCGCATTGCTGCTCTGCTCTCGATTGTCCGGTGGTGGACGGACATCAGATCATCTAGAAGGATTAAAATGCCCGGATCGTGTATGCTGATGGTCTCGGGACGTGCAGTGGGAGAATTCCCAATTCTAAACAGACCCTCAAACGCACTCAGCTCCAGCCGCAGGTTCCCCGGGCGCCCGCCCTGCTCTTCAGAGCTGCCTCCTGAGCTCGCTTAGTCCCCAGCTCACACTCTCCCCGCGGCTGGCGAGGTAATTGAATACTCGAGTTTAAAAGGGAAGCCGATCCTTTTAAACCAAAACACACCTGCTGGGCTGTAAACAGCTTTTAGTGACATTATCATCCACTCTGAAAATCTAACAAAGCAGTCATTTGTGCAGTTGAAAGTGGGATGTGTCTCGTAAAAGTCACAATTTGAATTCGTTTTTTGCTCTTAAATCCGGCCAACCTTTTCTGTCTTAAAAGAGAAAAAGAAAAAAAAAATCCCATTCACCAGGGTCCTTGCTGCCTCTCACCTCAGGCACATGAATTCCTAGTTGGCTGTGACTTCTGGTTTAAGTGGGAGGTTGAGAAGGAAGAAAACGAATCTGATTCTTTTGTCATCTAAAGAAAAACATGTTTGAAAATGTCTCCGTGGCCTTGGCTGGTGGCGTGTAACGGTCGTTTTGTCCCTGCAGAATTCGGGTGAAAAGCACGCGAGTCAAGATCCTGAAGAAGTTTCACATTGAAGACATCGCCAGCTCATTAGGTAAGAGTGTGTTTCTGAGGCACCATCAGGTTTTAACAGAGTAAGAGACGGTTTGGGAAGAGGTGAGGCTCGGCTCTCCAGGTAAAGATTGACCCTGCTCGTCGTTCTTCCCTTCGTACAAGGGGACGTGAATTCCCTGAGCTGAAGGAGGGGGAAGAAAGTGGATCTACATCCTTAAACCTTTCTAGAATTTGCTCCTAGAACCCATCCCGTTCTTGACTCCCAGAATGGCCAGCGGTGAGCGTTGAGGTCTGCTGGTCACCCCCGTCCGTGGCCTCCAGGGTGCACAAGACACCCCGAGGAGAGGGAGAAAGACTTTTCCTTTTTGTTTTTCCGCTCATCCCCTAGTAAGACTGTGAACGGTTGCTGGCCTGGTCTCTGCCCAAGGTTTGAGAAGCCGTTGGTCTCGTATTTAAATTCCATAGCTGAGCCCCGGGGAGAAAGAACCGTGTGACCGGCGGCAGCCTTGCTGGCCACCCATTGTCTGCGGGACTGTCGTCGGTGGGGGTGAGGCCGGTCGGAAATGGACCTCTGTGACCCCGTCCCCCCGCCTTTGCATTTCATAGGTGAGAGACCTTGAGCGCTGGGGGCCCGATCACGCACGCACACAGCACTAGGAGACGGCAGTCGCCTGCTTGCCCAGTCGCAGATCTGCAAGCCCCAAAGTAAAAATGCCTTTTCTCTCCTCAAAGTGGGAGTGCTTCTCCCACAAGCAAAGAACCGTTGGTCTCGTGAAAAGATCGGCCAGAGTTCCTTCCGATGGCGTTCATAAAATAGGGCCTATTTTCTTAGGTCTTTGGGAAAACAGCCATTGTTCGAAGCAGGGGCCGCCCGTGCGTGTACCCTAGGTGGTGTCGACCGTCACCCCTTGGACGCCATCGTCATTGTTCGCTCAGATCGCGTCGGTGGGGCCAATTCTCTGTGGGTGCCTTTAATATTAAACAGGGGAAAATAACTGTGCTGATTGAGGTATTGTGCCCGCTGAGTTGTGATATTGCATCCATCATCTTGTTCAAATAAACGGCGCCATATCTGTGTGTCGGGGGCTGGGGGGTTGGTGTGTGTGGGGGGGTGGGGCGTCAGGCTGAAACCTCCAGGCCCGTGATGCTCTTCTCTGGCTTTGAAATGCCCTTGCAAAGAAGTATGGAAAACGTACCAGCCCACAATGAGTCCTTTTCATCGGCTGTTCCTCACCCCCCACCCCCAGCCCGGAATACATTGCCGGCAGAGTCCTTTATTTCGTTGGCATGGGTTTTTATTGACCCTGATTGAATTTGAAATTGTGAGGCCGGGAGAGGATTTGCGAAACATCTGAATGCATTATGCGGGCGGTATTGTTTTGAAACCTGGAGGAATTTGGGTTGAACCCAATCAGGTTGGGGTCGGTCAGTTTGTTTTTTTTTTTTTTTTTTTTTGAAAAAAACGGGAGCCCCACAGCCCTGAACCAACAGCTGTTTTGTAACCTTGTCTTTCCTCTTGGGAAGATGTAAGTGATAAGTGTTAGTCCTCCCTTTCGGGATGAAAGCTAGCGATCTAAAGTAGATGGCCAGCGGTGCCCGGGTCCCTGGATGTCACCAGGCTTTGTCTGTCTTCCATCCTCCAGCCTCCCAGCACGAGGTGCCCGCTGAAGCATTGGAGGAGCTGGCCTACCGACGGTCACTGCGAGTGGCTCTGGATGTTTTGAACGAGAGAACAAGTTGTCATCGAGAAAGCTCTTCGAGGGAAGCAAGAACTGTGTCTCCAAGAGAGAAGCCCACGGAACTGGTCTCCTCGCTCTGTGACCCCAGCCCTTCCTCTCTTCTCCACAAAGGCATGTCGGGCAGTTTCGGACCCCACAGGAGGGAACGTGGATGCCAGAGGCTGTCAGGTTCGCCCGCTCATGAAGAGGACCCCAAGTGCCAAGTGGATCCCAAGAAGGGGCTTGGGAAAAGTGAAAGCCCACGAGCCCCGGCCGCCTCCTCAGCCGGAGGTGGTTCTCAGGACGGGCGTGGATCAAGAATACGCCGGGGAGATCCCATGACCCCGAGGAAAAGGGGAAGAAATTCGGCACACAGCCCATGTCAGAATGCACCTTCACTCCCAGAGGGGGATCCTGAAAGAGAGAGCGAGGCCAGGGCAGCCCCGTGCTCGCCCTCGCGGGTCAAGGAGGAGGGTCCGGGGGCTGAAGGGCGAGACCCAGCTCTGCCTGCTGGCGGCCCCGCTCTGCTGCTGGCCCCGGGGTGCCCGCAGGCCCGAGGCTGCCCCTCCAGGCAGCAGTGTCCAGATGGCAGCCAGCGGCCAGGGCCAAGGGGATGCATGACTCTGCGCAGCACCGCCAAGCCCGGCCTGCCGCCGCCCCGGGTCCCCACAGAGGAAGCCGGGAGTCTTCAGCCCCTGGAGGAAGGTAAACGTTCGTGGGTGGAGTGGGAGCCGGAGAGGGTGGCTTGGGTCCTCCCGCGGCCAGATTTGGAGCCAGGCCCGCGAGTGTTTTTAACCAGATCTTAATGAGATCGTTACCAAAGGAGACCCAGCGCAGAGAGTTCCTCATTCCTCCTCGCCTCTCTCCCCCTGGGCTGTAATTACCTCAACTGCTCCCGAGTGTCTCTGTGTCTTTATTTCTGTTTTGAAGCAAAGGGCGGGCGGGGACGGAGCGGGGGGGCCCGTGGCGGAGCGCCGTGGAGCCCTGGCTGGCGATGGGAATCAAGGCGGCCCTGATGCTGCTTTCCTCTGCTCCCCCGGGATTAACGCCTTTATTCTTAAGTGTCGCAGAAGCTAGCATGCACTGCCGTTAAATTGGCAGGAATCTCAAAAGTGATTAACTCACTTAAAAGGCTCCCAACTCAGTGAGACTCGCGGCGTAGACATGTTTGTGTGTGGCTGCGGCCACGCGCTGTGATTTCTCCCGTCCTAACACTGTGGCATCCCCCTCGTGTTTGAAAGGCTGATTCAGAAGTTGTAATGTCTGCATGGTTAGGTGTGTCCGGATGCCCTCGCCCCTCACTTCCCACATCGGTCTCTGCCTTTCTCCTTCCGGGGGGCCACCCCCCAGCGCTGTGGGAGCCTGCCGGGCACCCATCCGCACCCCCTTCCTCGCCATTTTCTGAAGAGAAGGTGGCGGCTCCATGGCCTTGCCCCGTAGTTGCAGCCCGCTCCCTGTCTCTACTGAGCGCTTCGGTCTGTGAGGGAATAAGCCACACGAAAGGAGTCCCCACTCAGAGTCCGGTCCGCTCCCTGTGCCAGGTTGCTGCCCCTCACGCTCGCCTTCCACGTACGACGTGAAAGGCACTCTCTCTCTTTCTCTCTCTTTCATTTTTCTGTTAAATGCACTTTAAGCGAAGCACGCACGCCCTATTGAACGTGGCACTGTGAAAGTCTGTGTAGCACAGATCTTTCCTCCTTGTTGATGGTCACGTATCACGAAATGTTTTTCTCGGCACGAGTCACCCAGGCGATGACAGTGAAAGTGTAATCTGACGTTATTGGCAGACCGTCCATCCTCTGAAGAGTCCGTGCAGTTTAATTCCGTTAATTCCATCCTGGAGGAAGATGAGGAAGACGAGGAGCCCCCGAGAATCCTCCTCTACCACGGTAAGACGCGAGGGGGACCCAGGGTGCGCTCAGGCGTGGAAGGAACTGGTGCCGGCGTTCCGAGACCATTGCTGGCATCTCAGCTAAAGGCCTCTTGCTGTTTGATTTTTCTCCTGCTGAGCCGAGGCCTTAGAAAGTGCCGTGGTTTTGGTCCTCTGTCTTAAGAACGACCTCACAAAGGGAAGAGGGCTTTCCCCGGGAAGAGACGGCCCTGCCCTCCCTGTAAGCACACCGCTCCCTCCCTCCATTTGTCCTCCTGTCCCTTGGTGGGAACGCAGGACGGCGAGGGGCACAGACGGGTGCTGTCGCCATCGTTTGGGTGTGGCCCGGTGCTGGGGCCTGCCGCAGCCTCACTGGCCTTTGCAAGTCGGTCCAGACAGGCGGGATCTACAACCCGAGGGAGCCCGCCCCCTCTCCCGCCACGTACCGTCTGCACCAGAGCAAGACACGTATGTAAGAGCCGCTGACGTCTGTGGAGAAGGATCAGGAACAGAGACCCGCAGATGCCGAACCAGCAACCAACAGAAAGTCAGTTTCTTCCTGAAGCGAGGGACTCAGAACCAGTTACGTCTTTCAACTCGCCCCTTCACCTTTCATCCGACATAGTCGAGTCTTTTTTTTTTTTTTAAAGCTTTTTATTTTGAAATGATGATAGATTCACAGGATGTTGCAAAAACAGTGCAGAGAAGTCTGGGCGGCCTCTCCCTCAGCCTCCCCGACAGCAACATCCTGCAGGTCCAGGAAGCCGACCTGGGTGCAGCGTGTGGGGCCCCCCATGCCACGCGCACACGCTCTCGGTCCACAGCTCGCTCCTCCTCCAAGATGCTGAGTGTGTTTCTCTTGCTGTAGCGGTGTCCTTGCAGGTTGCATTTTCATTTTTTGAAGTTAATGATAACTCAGACCTTTTTACACTTTTGCATAGTTTTCTGATGATTCTTAGTGGCTACTAGTTACTATTTACTAGGAGGGGCGGGTGATCGCATACTGAGCCCTCCCCCAGGCATTGAGTATCTAGATTGTTCCACGCCTGGGGGGCTACACTGCACCTGGCGTGTGCTTCTGGGAAATAACTCTGTAGGGTCGGCTCCCCAGAGGGAGCTTACCGGGCCACAGAGGAGGGGCACCGTGCCTTCTTCCAAAAGGGCATTTCTGATTTTGCCACCACCAGCCGGGGTCAGGTCACCACAGCCCAGAAAAACCTGGGCGTTTCCTCTTTTCCCGTTTTTTGGTTCCATTTGGTTTTGCCTGTCCCCATCAGCCTGGACGTCTGTCTGCTGTTTCCCGGCTGGGCCCTGAGCTGGCTGTCGGGGCTGTGGCCCATTGTCCTCATGGGACCCCGTCGGTGCCTCTGGGGTGACAGCCCTCCTTGAGTGGTCCCGTCTTTCACCCCGTGGACCTCTGAGTTGTTAGATGTCGCCCTCCGCAGCTGCCCCTTTCTTCCGCAGGGCGTCAGGACCAGAGGATCTCGGCTCTGTGTGGGGAAGAACGGCCTCTGCTTTCCAGCAGTTTTTGTTACCTGATTTTTTAACATTTCAGTTATTTACTCATTTTGGAGTTTTTTTGGTTGAAAATAGTTACGTTTTCTTCGGACACCATTTTGCAGTTGTCTGTTGATCATGTCGATAATTGCCTTTTTTCTCTCTTAAGACCCTGCTCGCTCGGACAGGGGAGCCCCTTAGCAATTAGGCTCTCCCGTCGGCTCTTGGTTGTGTGGCATGGTCTCCTTTCTGGTTTTGCCCCACATTTTCTAAGAAATGTTTTATTTTGGAATAATCGGAGATTTCCAGAGAAGGCACAGAGGTGGTAGAGTCCCCACCTGCCAGCTTCCCCTCGTGTCACCACATTGTCCCCGCTGAGAAGGCGCGGTGCCTTGCTCCCCGCCGCTCAGCGGCTCGTCATCAGCACTGGGGTTCCGGCTGGGAACCGACCTTGCAGATTCCTCGTGGCCTTTAAGGGAATTAGGTTAACATCAGGTGTAAACAGTCTCGCAGGGCCGGCCCGGTGGTGCAGTGGTTAAGTTCACACATTCCACTTTGGCGGCCCCGGGGTTCACTGGTTCAGATCCCGAGTGCGTACATGGCACCACTTGGCAAGCCATGCTGTGGTAGGCGTCCCACGTATAAAGTAGAGGAAGATGGGCATGGATGTTAGCTCAGGGCCAGTCTTCCTCAAAAAAAAAAAAAGAAAAGAAAAAGACAGTATCACGGTGATCGTGTTCTCAAGCTGTTGCACTGGGCGCTGATGTGGATCTGATGTATCTGTTCTTTCTGTTTTTCTCTCTCTAATTCTAGAACCACGCTCGTTTGAAGTAGGAATGCTAGTCTGGCTTAAATACCAAAAATACCCCTTCTGGCCGGCAGTGGTAAGAACAACTCCTCCTTCTAAGCGTGGTCAGTCGGATCCCGTGGGTCTCCCCGCTCGTCCCCAGTTCTCCGCTCTTGGACCGGGCCGGCGCTCTCCCTACGTTGTTATTACTGGAAAAAGCGGTGGGCTTAGCGGCGGCATGTCTGGACACACATTTGCCTGAATAAAGGGAGTTCAGTCATTTTGGCATCCATGAGTGTAAGGTTCATAGGTCAAATCTTTACCAAGCAGGCTCAGAAAAACCCACCTGAACAAAAGGCCTTGTAATTTGCTCATTTTAAATATTGTGCATTTCAGACTTTTCACCCTATTGATTTTTTTGCCTTTGGTGAGGAAGATTGGCCCTGTGCTAACATCTGTGCCAGTCTTCCTCTATTTTGTGTCTGGGGAGCTGCCACAGCGTGGCTCGATGGGCGGTGCTTAGGTCCATGCTGGGGATCTGAACCGTGAACCCTGGGCCACCAAAGCGGAGTGCGCAAACCTGGCCAGTACGCCACTGGGCAGCTCCTGTTGGAGCTTTTTAATTCCTCAGATTCTAGGGTAGGGCCCAGGTGTACATGCAGAAACGGGTATTTGAGAGTCTGTCCCAGGTCCCGGTGTGGTAGGTGAGCTTAAATGCGGCTGAATTCTTGGTTCTGCTCTCTCGTCACCTGGACGGTGCAAACCGTCGATTTATATTTTAGGCAGAGACTCCATCCCTGCTCCTCATGGCCCCCATTTGTGTGTCCCCGCCTGCCCCCCAGACCCTGGCAGAGACAGGGCTCTGCACTTTCAGCCACAATTGTTTGCTTTTAGCGAGAGACGGTAGCATGTAAACCCGAAAGGTGTTTGCGGCCACCCAGGAGCTTTGTCATCTCGAGGGTCTGCTCTCCTCGAGCCAGCGCGGCCTGCTCGCACCCGCTGGCCCGGGTCAGGGGGGATGGAATGGAAGTCTGTGCGCGTTTACTAGTAAAACACGCGCTTAGGGTGGGCCCGGTGGCGCAGTGGTTAAGTGTGCATGTTCCACTTCGGCAGCCCGGGGTTCGCCGGTTTGGATCCTGGGTGTAGACATGGCACCGCTTGGCAAGCCATGCTGTGGCAGGCGTCCCACATAGAAAGTGGAGGAAGATGGGCACGGATGTTAGCTCAGGGCCAGTCTTCCTCAGCAAAAAGAGGAGGATTGGCAGCAGATGTTAGCTCAGGGCTAATCTTCCTCAAAAATAAACAACAAACAAAAAACAACAGCAAAAAAAGAAAGCGTGCTTGGACAAGGGGAGAGGTGCCCTGGGGTTTAGTGTGGGCCCTGGTCGCTCACTGTGGCCCCTCAGGCTCCTCTCAGCTCTAGCCTCCCAGGCAGCGACTGTGTCCCCCTTTCCCGGGCCTTGCAGCCCTCCCCTTGTTCTCACTGGTTCCCTGGAGGCCCCGCTGGGCAACAGGTCACCAGCGGGACAGATTCCTGGGTCAGAGAGTCTGCGGCCAACCTGGCCGCGTGAGACGCTGTCTAAAGGGGGGCTGCCCAAGGAAGGGGGCAGTTTGAGGGTGCGCTGTTGCGCCCGTGTGCCTTCGCTGGTCCCGGCTGTCCTGAGCTCGCCTCTCTCGTCTGCAAAATGGGAACGGCCCTGCCCGCGGAGCCGGGAGAGGGGCCGGACGGTTTGTTAAGGGGCAGCAGGCAGCCGTAGGCACCAAACCTGATCCTGCTCGGTTGTGAAACCGCTGCAGGTGGGCCGTGAACAGCTCGGCGGTGTCTGAGTGTCTGACTGTGTCCCCTGCCTCGGTCGCCCCGAGCCGGCGGCGTTCCCGGCCACACACGCCAGTTGCTCAGCGCAACGCCCAACAAGATGACATCAGGAAAGAATCTTAAACCCCACAGCTTCCCCCCAGTGGTTGATGCTTTATTTTCTTGGATTGGCCAACAGGTCAAGAGCGTCAGGCGGAGAGATAAGAAAGCCAGCGTGCTTTTCATCGAAGGGAACATGAACCCAAAGGGGAAAGGGTAAGGCCGGTCTCTGTGCTCCCCGTGGATGACCCCAGCCGCAGGCCTACCCCGGGTGCTGGGTGGGAGGGGCCGGGGAGCAGGGTCCACCTGCCCCCTGGGAGCCGCCCCAGGAAGAGGAATCCAGACACAGGCGGTGTTTAAAGGAGCTGGTCAAACTGTCCAGTTTTCCAGATTTTATTTGCCGGCTTCAAAAGGCGGCCCAGCAAGATGCCCGTCGGACTGGCCCCTGTTCCCACAAACTGTAGCAAAGTGGTCACCACAGGGCCACGGGCCGTGACCTGCGTCTGCCCGAGTGTAGCCGTTCGGCCGGCTGCCCGGTCGCTCTCTCGTGATCCTTAGTCACAGGATGAAAATGCGCTCAAATGCGGCCGCCCGCATCTGGGAGGCAGCGTGCGGGACTGGTCTCCTCCGAGCCTCGGGCACTTGGGTGCTGCCTCTGTCTCCCACCGGTGGCCCGGAGTGTGGCACGAGGACTAGGCCCCGGGGTCTGCCTGTCCTGAGTGGCGGCTGCAGCCGCGTCCCCCTGGGGGCCTTCCCAGACGTCCCCATTGCCTCCAGGGCCTGGCTCCAAGGGGCTTCCTCAGGCCGCTGGGGACAAGAGTCGCCTTCCATACTGAACGGGTGCCGTCAGAGGCGCCGGGGCCCCCTCGTTTTGTCAGAGGGGACCTGTGCGTAGGCCACGAGGTGGCGTCCCTGACGTGAGCCTGCCCGCTCTGCCCCGTCCAGCATCACCGTGTGCCTGAGGAGACTGAAGCACTTCGACTGTAAGGAGAAGCACGCGCTCCTGGTAGGTGCACCGGGCCCTGTGCTTCTGGGAACGGGGCCCTCCGCGCAGCCCGTGGGACCGCGGCTCGTGGGCACGTGTGGCGGCCGTGGGAGTGACAGCAGAGGTCTGCCGGGCTGGCTCCGGCTGTTCCTCTTGTGATCACGGCACTGGGGGTGTCACCTCCACCCTGGGGGTTGCCGGCTCGTCTCCCTGGTTAACAGGTGAGGAAACTGAGGCTTCAGCGTGGAGGACAGTTTGCCCAGGGCCGCAGGATGAGGGGGCGGAGAGCCCGGCACGAGGCCCGCTCCTTCCGGCTCCTCCCGAGGGCGATTGTCCTGTGGCCATCCCGCGGGTCAGGCATGGCAGACCCTGGCCCCTTGGAACGGGGACGCCACCCCAGCCCGGTGCTGCGAGCATGGTGGGCCTCAGGTGTGCAGGGAGCCCGCGCACGCTCCCAGGTCACGGCACACAGCACCCCACAGAGGATCTGTGTGCTCTTTTGTTGTTTTTTCTTTTTGCTGAGGAAGATTAGCCCTCAGCTAACATCTGCTGCCAATCCTTCTCTTTTTGCTGAGGAAGACTGGCCCTGAGCTAACATCCATGCCTATCTTCCTCTACTTTCTATGTGGGACGCCTGCCACAGCATGGCTTGCCAAGTGGTGCCATGTCCTCACCCGGGATCTGAACCGGTGAACCCCAGGCCGCTGAAGCAGAACATGTGCACTTAACTACTGCACCACCGGGCTGGCACCCTGTGTGCTCTTTAGTGGCCGTCGACCCCGATTCTGTAATCAGCTTGTCATACCCTGAGCGCGCCAGCCACCAGTAGCTGGTCCTTTCAAAACAGACCCACCCAGCCAGGCAGGAGGGCCCGTCAGGCTCCAGCTGGTGTAGGAGTTTCCACGCCGGTCAGTGGGGCTCCCGGGTCTGTGTCACGGCGCTGCCTTCCCATCTGGGAAGCTGTCTGCTTGCGCTGTGAGTGGGATTGGGGGCTGGAGGCCGTCCGGGGAGCTTTCCGCTGACCGGCTGTGCTGTTTCTCCGAGGGCAGCCAGCCACGGGCTCCAGGTGTGGGCAGGGCTGGCACCCGAACTGGACCCCAGCCTCAGCCACGCGTGTCTCCACGACGTGAGCCTCGCTGCCCCGTCCATCTTGTCTGCTTGAGCTTGTTCACGGCAACTTCTAACCCACAACCAGCGCCGGGTGCCGGGTCCCCGCCAGAATGCCGGTCAGCGGGCTGGCTCTGGATGAGGGCTGGTGGGCGTTGGGACAGGCTGCCACGCACCCCGAGGTGCAGACCCCCGAGCACGTGAAGCTGACAGCCCAACCTCCCGGGGCCGGGAGCATCACCCTCACTCTCCTCGGTGCCCTTTGCCCTCTCGGGGATCCAGTAGCTTCCCCAGAGCGGAGGGCTGGGCAGAAAGGCGAGCAGGACTCCTGCCTCAAGGCCGGCTTGCCTTATACACGTGAAGAACGTGATTTAGCGTAATGTGGCCTGGGTCACGAGTAGATGGGGCGCGGGTCTCACATGATCCAGATGCCTGGCGGGGATCCCCTGGCCGTCCTCCCGTCCTCCGAGAAAAGTCAGTCCAGACACCCCCTCGAGGTGGGATTCAGAGGGGTGACCGAGGGCTGGTCCATCCGAGGGCATGGGCGTTGCCTCCCAGGAGGCTGTTCTGCCTCTGCTGGGCCCGTGGATGGACTGGCTCTTGCGTCCTTGGCGGCCCTTGTGTGACCGTCACGTCTGCAGCATCTGCGGGGCCCCCACGTGTCTCCTTCCCTGACGGGCCCCGCAGGCTGCTGTCCCCGGTGCGGGTCCGCGAGCCTGGCCGAGGCCCCGAGCCCCCCTCAGAGCTGCCCACTCTGCTCCCGTCCCACGCCTGTGGCGACTGTGGGACGAGAGCCCTGCCAAGGTGGCAGTAAGGCAGGAAGCAGGTGTCACTCTGCCCTCAGGCCTCTGGTTCCCGGGAGCTCATGGTTCCAGCTCAGGGGTCCTCACCAGGGTCTTGTTCTCGGCCTGTGGTGAGCACCGGGAGGCCGGGTGGGTCCTGCTGCCAGTGGCCAGTGTCCCCACCTCCCGGCCGACCCTGCCTCTTTCTAAGTGACAGGCACGAAGACGTGTCTCGAAGGGTTTCTTGCACACGACTGTTGCTGTCTTTCTGTGGCGGCCCCGAGGCTGCCCTCCGGGGTGTTTCCGGCCTCCTCCGCGTAGGGTCTGCCGCTCTCTCAGCCCAGGCCCGGACCGGGGCCTCAACGTGCGTTTCCCGGTCTGGCCACGGGGGCATCTGCCAGGTCCCCTTTGTGGACAAGGGGGCGTGGGACACAGAGGGAACGTGGGCCGTGTGCCTGGCGGCCTCCCGCTCTCGCCCACCGACCGTGTCTCGTTGCAGAGCGAAGCCAAGGAGGACTTCGACCAGGCCATCGGCTGGTGCGTCTCCCTGATCACCGACTACAGGGTCCGGCTTGGTACGTGGGGCCTGCGGGCCCTCCAACAAGGGGCCGGGTGGGGACACAGCGTGGGGCTCCTCTAAGGACCCTGAGGCCTAGGGCAGAGCGCAGGCCCGTTCCTGGTGGCAATCGGGCTGGCCCGGGCTGCCTTCTCCCCGACGGGCTGGTGGGCGGGTGCCGGGAGGAGGCCGGGGCGCGGGGAGAAGCAGGAGACGGGGTTCCCTGTGACTCGGGTGGTTTCCCGCCAGCCCGGGCCTGGCTGCTGAGAACCATAAGCCGTCGCGTTGTTAGTAAAAACGCCCTGGGGACCGCGGCCGCACTGACCCGCTGTTCCGCGTCCCGCCTGCCCTCCCTGGGGAGGGGTCTGCCTGGGCGTGGACTGAGCCCGCGGGAACTTCCCGGCGTCTCCCCTGCGTGTGAACACGGCTCTCCCCCGCCCCTCTGCAGGCTGCGGTTCTTTCGCCGGCTCTTTCCTGGAATATTATGCAGCTGATATAAGTAAGTCCCCCGGCGCCTCTTTAAGGCGTGACCCACCCTTTAGTCCTTTAGGAGCCCCCGCCCTCTGTGTCTGAGGCTCAGGGGCAGTTGTGTGGGGGGAAGCAGTGCTATGGCCCGAGCCTGTTCCCAGATCACAAACCCCGGCTGTGCCACCTGCCCCCAGTGCCCACCGGGCACCCGCAGGTCTCCTCCCCCTGCCATGGGGGCCGGGACCACGTCCCGCACCCACACGCCCCCCGTCAGTGCCAGCGGCGACATGCACCAAGGACTTTAGACTGTCGCCTGGACGCTGGCACGTCTGAGGGGCGGCACCTTCCATCTGCCTGCTGTGTGGCTCCTGTCTTCGGTTGGCCGACAGTCACTCGGTGCCCTCTTCCTCCTCTGGTCCTCACAGAGTGGCCAGGGATGACTCGGGCCGGGTGGAGGCCGTCCTCCGCCCCGTCGGCTCACACGTGGCTGCAGGACAGTCGGGGAGAGGGCGGAGGGATCCCATCAGGAAGGGCCCTGTAGGAATGGGGCCGTCCTGCTCAAGGGGCTTATCTCGGACCTCAGGGCACCCCGCCCTGCCTGCATCCTGGGGGCCTGGGGCCTGCTCCCCACAGCCCCAGACTCCGTGTGATTGCTGAGGGCGTCACGGCGAGTGAGGGGGCTGCAGGGGCCCACTGGCCGGGCCAGCAGTCCCATGGACGTGGCTTCCTCCTCAGGTTACCCCGTCCGCAAGTCCATCCAGCAGGACGTCCTGGGGACCAGGTTCCCTCAGCTGAGCAAAGGGCACGAGGAGGAGCCTGCGGCAGGGAGCCCCCAGGGCAGGCGGCCGCCATGCAGGAAAGTCCTGCCCGACCGGTCGCGGGCCGCCCGGGACCGTGCCAACCAGAAGCTGGTGGAGTACATCGTGAAGGCGCGGGGCGCCGAGAGCCACCTGCGGGCCATCCTGAGGGACAGGAAGCCGTCCAGGTGGCTGCAGACATTCCTGAACTCGGGGCAGTACATGACGTGCATGGAGACGTACCTGGAGGACGAGGAGCAGCTGGACCTGGTGGTGAAGTACCTGCAGGGGCTCTTCCAGGAGACGGGCAGCAGGATGCTGGCGCGCATCAACGGCGACCGGATCCGCTTCATCCTGGACGTCCTCCTGCCCGAGGCGAGTGGCCGGCCGGGGCGGTTCTGTGCAGCGAGGGTGGGGATCTGCGGTGAGGGCTCAGGAACCGGGCGGCTTGGGGCTGGGACGTCGGTGAGCGTGGAGCCCAGCCACCCTGTGGGTTTGAATCTCCTCGCCATCGTGGGGGGACGAGAGCTGCGTGCTGCACCCGTGTGCTCACGTGGGACCCGTTCCGGAATATAGGTTACTGGGGAAAGGGAGTGCACACCTTGTCAGTGCGCTTCAGCTGGGGCTCGGGTTGGGCGAGGAGCCACCATGACCCCTCCAGTTGTCTTGGAGTTCAGAGCGGGAACTGCCGGGCATCTGTGCGCACGCTGGAAGGACATGGTCAAGGTCAAGAACTGTGAGCTTTATCATTGTGTTAGGTTTCAAATACGTACAAAAATAAAACAGCATCGTGATCCCTTCTGTGCCTGTTCCTCAGCTGGAACAGTGACCTCATGCCCTTTGTCCCTCCAGTCCACTCCCCTGGATTATTCTGGGGTGGGGGGGACTCACATATTTTTTCTTTTTTGAGGAAGATTAGCCCTGAGCTAACATCTGCTGCCAATCCTTCTCTTTTTGCTGAGGAAGACTGGCCCTGAGCTCACATGTGTGCCCATTCTCCTCTACTTTATATGTGGGATGCCTGCCACAGCATGGTGTGCCAAGCGGTGCCATGTCCGCACCCAGGATCTGAACGGGCGAACCCCAGGCCGCCGAAGCAGAACATGTGCACTTAACCACTGTGCCACCGGGCCGGCCCCCCAAATATTTTTTATGCATAAATACTTCAGTGTTTCTCTCTAGAACAGGTGGTCCTGCCCCCAGGAGACACTGGGCCACGTCTGGGCACATCTGCAGGTGTCACACTGGGGGTGCTCCTGGCATCGAGAGGGTGGGGCTGTGGATGCTGCTCAACCCCCCAGAGCACCCAGGATGGCCCCCCAGAGAGTGACCTGATGTCACAGTGCCAAGGGGGACCCTGCTGTAAACCATAAGGACTCTGAAAATATTTTTGGGGGCTGGCCTGGTGGCGCAGTGGTTAAGTGTGCACGTTCTGCTTTGGCAGCCCAGGCTTTGCCAGTTCGGATCCCAGCTGCGGACGTGGCACCGCTCGGCAAGCTATGCTGTGGTAGGCGTCCCACATATAAAGTAGAGGAAGATGGGCACGGATGTGAGCTCAGGGCCAGTCTTCCTCAGCAAAAAGAGGAGGATTGGCAGCAGTTAGCTCAGGGCTAATATTCCTCAAAAAAAATATATATATATTTTTTGACGTAACCACAATACTATCATTCCATCTAAGAAAACGAATGATGATTCCTTGATGTTAGACGTCTATTGCGTATTTAAATCACCACGATGGTACTTCTGCTTATTTGTGTTTTTACAGTAAACTTAGGTTTCCGCACCGCAGTAGTTGGTCGCGGTTCCGCTTTTCCTTCTCTGCTCCTAGTGACATGACCTCTTGTCTCTAGTCCCGAAGATGACGTTACTGACGTGATTCAGAAACTTGCCTACGAGCAGGGATTTCTCGGATTCCGTGGGTGTTTTTCGAGCCGTACACGGGGAAGTGTCTGCAGGCCGATGCGTGTGGAACTGACCGCGGCTCCCCGCTCTGCCCCTTGCAGGCCATCATCTGTGCGATTTCCGCCGTGGACGCAGTGGACTACAAGACGGCCGAGGAGAAGTACATAAAGGGACCCTCGCTCAGCTACCGGTAAGCCGCTCGGGCCGACCTTCCCAGACCATTCTGCGGTTTCTCTTCAAAGCCTTGTATTTCCACACCCGCTGGTGCCGTGACCCGATGCACCGGTCCAGACGCCTGCTTGGTACAAGAATCGTGTGAACTTGAGAACGTGCGTTAGCCAGGAATCGCCAGGCAGACCCGGAGCAGCCAGCAGTGAGCTTGCCTGTCCTCCAGCCAGTTTGGGCAGTGGGCCCGGGGTCCCCGAGCCGGTCACAGCGGGCAGAGCTGGACGCCAGCCCAGGCCCCGCGTGGCCAGCCTGCGGGAGCTGCCCGGGGCTGGCGGGTGGACGCGTGCTCGGGCCTGCTGTGCCTAATCTCTTTGGCACGGGCTCCTGTTTGCATTGCTTTTTCCCCCTCTCGCTCCACCGCCGTGGCTGTTTGAGAAAATGCAGCCAGATTAAGCGGCCGCAGTCGCCCTGACGGTTCCTAGTTGGTCGGAAGAATGCCGTGATCAAGATGTCTCCCTCACTTCCGTGTGTTTAGCCACCGTTGGGTTTTTGGCCCCCGGAGCCCCTAATCCCGACTCTGGGCGCGCTGCCAGGCCTCGCTGCGGACGGCGGGGCCCGCGTGGCACTGACAGGCTGAGGACTCAACTAGAGTCACGGGCCAGGGTCTCCGTCCAGGCCGAGCGGGCACTCCGTCCCGGGACGCCTGACAGTACAGACTCCTGGCTCCCGGGAGGCCCGCATCCTTCCCGGGTGGGCACCCCCGGCTTCCCGGGGGGCCAGAGGCCGCCGACCTGTGCAGTGGACGGGAGGCCTCCTGTACACCCGTCTGTCCGCGGGGGAGTCCGTTCGGCTCTGGACGCAGGAGTTTAACGCAGCTGAGCTGACGGGACACGAAGGGGCCCTGGAGGCAGAGGCCTGGCGCGTCTGTGCGGGAGCTCAGCGCTCAGCCCCGGTGCCCTCGCTAGACCCGCAGCGAACGGTGGTCCCGGGAGGCTGAGGTCGGAGCTGGCCACCTTTGCTCTCGCTGGCCTTTTCCTCCGTCCCGTCCCAGCAGCCACCCGTTCTGCTCCGGTGACGGCGTCTCTGCGTCTTCGTGGTTTTCCTTTGAAGGAGCTGCCGTTCCCAGTTGCCGGTGTCACAAAGCGTTCCGAGTCCTCCGCAGCCTCGCGGGCCGTGAACGTCTCAGATGCCCCGTAGAAAGCGCGTTCGGGAGGCTGGCAGAGAAGCGGGTTGGGGTGGACACGCAGGCCACCGGCTCATTCCCCGGGGGTCGTGGGCTGAGTGACGTGATGAGTGAGCGGCGGCCGTTTCTGCCCTTGGCCCCGGTTCTGGGCGCACAGTCGGTCCATTGCGGGATTGTTCGCCCCGACGGTGGGAGCCACTGGTTCTCGTCCCTCTTGTCCCTCCTGTGGTTGTGCGCAAACCCGGCTTTATTTAAGCCCCAGCCGTGTGGTTGTGCTGGAAGCCGTCTTCGCGCTGCTTCCATCGTGGTCGTTCTCAAGGCAACCTGTGTTTCTTCTTCCCTTTTTTTTTTTTTTTTTTTTAAGATTTTATTTTTTTCCTTTTTCTCCCCAAAGCCCCCCCGGTGCATAGTTGTATATTCTTCGTTGTGGGTCCTTCTAGTTGTGGCATGTGGGACGCTGCCTCAGCGTGGCCTGATGAGCAGTGCCATGTCCCTGCCCAGGATTCGAACCAACGAAACCCTGGGCCGCCTGCAGCGGAGCGCGCGAACTTAACCACTCGGCCAGGCCCTGTGTTTCTTCTTTTGAGCCGGCCGCTCGCCGTGTCTCGCCGATCATCCGCTACTTCCCGGGTCACCTTCAGGATCGATGTTTCCTGCTCATCTCTGCCCTGAGAGGGGTGGCGAACCAAGGAATTGTTAAGATAATTTTTTTTCTTGACAGGCAAATCTCTTAAGGACAGTTTGATATTGCATATTCCTTTGTAAAAAAAAAAATTATTTTTTCAATTGTGGTAAAATATCGGTAACATAAAATTGACCGTTGTCACCATTTTTCAGTGCACAGCCCAGGCATGAAGCACGGTCCCACTGTCGCGCAGCCATCCCCACCGTCCGTCTCCAGGACCGTCCTTCCTCCCAGGCTGAAGCTCTGTCCCTATCGAACGCCAACTCCCCTGTTTCATGCCCTTTGAACCCGGATTAATTACTAAAATGAAGTTATCCGCTTTTATCTCCCGAAGGGAAAAACAGATATTCGATAACCAGCTCCTGGAGGAGAGGAGTCGGCGCAGCTGACGCCGGAGGGGCCGCGCCGTGCTGGGTGTCGGGGACCGGGCTGCCGGCCTCGCATCCGTGGTCCCGTTTCCACGGCTCCGGAAAGTCGGTTTCGTGAACACGCCGAGAGCCGGCTCTTTTCCCAGCTCTTTTGGGAGAACATAGTTCCCCGAGGTTTTCAAAAGGACAGAAGTGCCATTTTATTTTATTTTGTATCATTACATGTGACCATATCGTATAGTTTAATATAAGGCACACATTTGCTATTTTGTGTTAAAAAACCTTGTATCTGATATTAAACAGGACATTTAAGGGAGAGTCTGGCGTGAATGTCTAGCTCCAGAAGCATCGCTGTAATTTTCCGGGATTTTTTTCCCCCTCCTTCGCGTGGTTTCTTCTCAGGATAGTTCCCAGGTTTGCAGCTCCCACCCCAGGCGTTTCTGAAGAAAACCAGTGTTTGTAAGAGACGGATGTGAAGACAAGCCGCTCTCACGTTCCAGCATTCCTGTGATTGCTCACGCGGGAGGACGGACGGCGGTCTCTCCGGGGGCCTCATCCCGCTCGTCCTGCGTGGGGGTGAGTCTCAGCCGAGCGGCCGCCACGGACGCCCCGTCCCATGGAGCTTCCTCAGCTGCGTCTGTCCTGGGGCTGAGCGTTGTCACCGCCCAGCCGACCCCTGTGGTCTCAGTCGCCTCCCAGGATTGCTGTGACCATCCCGCGTGCCCACCGCTCCCACTGGGGCAGCCGAGGTCACCGTGCGCGAGGCGAGGCTGTGGAGTCGCAGCGTCCGGGACACGAGCTCGCCGCCTGGGCCCAGCTTTTGCAGAAACGAGGCCGTCGTCGTCGGGAAGCCAGGCTGGCATTCCTGCCCGAGGCACAAAGGCAGGTCCCCTGCTGGTGAGTCACCGAGATGCCCGAGGGTCCCTGGCTCAGCAGCCCGGCCTTTGGGGTCAGCTGTGTGAAGGTCTGTGACTCAGTTTTCTCAGCCAGGCCTTAAACGCGGTCGTGGAAACTCTCTTTCAAGTCAGAGCCGCACGCCACTGAATTATTTATTCTAAGCCAGTGCGAGACCACGTGTGGAAATAAACGTTGGCGAAGTTAATTTTGAGACCCTGCCCCGTGTGACCCCCTGGCTGTGTTGGTGGCCCCACCGTAATGACCGGAATGCTGCGTTTGGGGAGGGCTGAGGCCCCCTCTCCTGCTGGCCCTGGGCCTGACAGCAGCAGCTCAGAGGGGAGTGGAATGAGGGTCTCGTGGACGCGGGGAGAGGCGCATGCCCCGAGAGGCAGGTGTCTGAACGGGAGGCAGCCGCAGAGGCCGTCTCTGGTCTGGTAGAGACCATGACATTTTGGGGATGGTGTCAGGCCACCTGGAACCCCCCGGCGGTCTTCATCTTCACTGACTTTGATCAAATCTAAGAACAGGAAATCCAGGCATGCCTGGCCCTGGTGGTTCTGCCTCTGACCCTCGGGGTTGGCCCTCGGGGTGTCCCATCTGGGGCCCAGGCGTGTGGCCCGAAGCCTCGATGCACCAATCCAGTTGGCAGCTGGCCCTGCTTGGGTCACTCTCCCTTGGACACAGACAGAGGCCCATCCCTGAGGAGGACGGCCCTACCAGCATCGCCAGAGTGGGCCTCGCTTCCTTCCAGAAAAGTCCGACCACGCAATCCTCCGACAGCAACCCTCGAAGTCGGTCGGTAGTGGGAACAGCCTCCGCCTTAGAGACTCGGGACGTTCTCGGGGGCCGTGGGTTAGAAACACCTGCGAGGTTCCCGTGGGAACATTCCGTCATCGTGAAGTATTTTTATATCTGTTCCTTTGCTGATCTTTCCCGTGTTCCTAAGCTTTGGTGGTGGAATTGAACTACTCAGACTGGAATTAAACGTCGTTTTGGAGCCTGGCTTTGCTTTTCTGAACCCCACACGTCGTCTGCACCTCTTGGGCTGCACCATCCCCGAAATGTTGCTTGTCGGAAGGATCCATCCCTGGGAGCTCGAGGGGGTCCCCCGGTCCCGTTCCCACCTCCGCCTGAGCAGAGCAGAATTCTGTCTGTCACACCCGGGGCTGATCAGCAGCGCCCGAGGCCCCCACCCCGCATCCTGGTCCCGCATCCCGGTCCTGCACCCAGCAGGTGCTCTGGGCTCTCGCTGTGGCATGGTTTTTGTTGATTCTGAGTGTGATTGTCCTAAGGCCACTGTGGGGCAGTCTGTTGACGCTCCAAATTGGTGGCTGGGCAGTAGACGGGGAAGTCAGAGCCAGCTGACCTGACTAGGATGCCAAGTGAGGAAGGTTCTGGAAGGGCCTGAGAGGTGGCCCAGGCCCCCCTGGGGGAGCCAGCCCAGCTCACCTGCTTCTGAAGCTTCCAAGACAGATGTCACCCAGCACAACACTGCCCTCTGCCCTGCCCCAGCCCTCCTGCACCCCATTCTCCACAGCGGCGGCCTCGATCCCCCCACCCCTCTCTCCTGGCGGCGGAGCCTGTGTCCCCCAAGCACTGCGGACATCGGGCCGGGTCGTTCTCAGGGGGGCCGTCCTGGGCGCTGTAGGGGGTGAGCTGCATGCCCGGCCCCCCGACTCGATGCCAGGAGCGCCCTAGTCTGCAAGCCCACGGGCCCTTGCCGCCTCCCCCCAGACTCCTGCCCACGTCCTCTGCCCCTTCCCTTGCCCTTTGCCAGCTGGTGTCTCAAACCCGCAGCCCCTCTGTGCGGCCTCCCCACTGCCCCGTCCATCTCCCCTCCCAGGGCCCCCCGACCCTGGCCTTCCTCATCTCCCCCGGCTCCCCAGCCCAGCCCTCCGCCCAGCCTCCTCCCGTCCAGCCCCCCAGCCCCTGCGGGTGCTTCTGCCGCTCCAGCCCCCCCCCCGCGACTGAGACAGCAGCACACGCCGACGTCACCGCTTCCCGGAACGGGCCGTTTCAGTGCACACGCTGGCCCCTCTTCAGGGCTGTCATTTGTCTAAAAAATTGATGTAAAAAATGCACCGGGTAAGAATCTCAAACCACGGACCAGTGCCTCTGCCCGAGGAACGGCCAGTCCCCCTCCCGCCCCAGGGTCCCTGTGCAGGCCTGGCCTGGTCCCTCCTCCCACCTCTCTGCTCCTCTCTCTCATCTCCCTCCTCCTCTCTCCTGTTGCCCCTCCTCTCCGTCTTCCCCCATCTCCCCTCCCTTTTCCTCCTCTCCCTCTCTCCTCCCCGTGCCCCCTACTCTCCCACTGGCCCTCACTGCCCCTGGAGTCATGGTGAGCCCTCTGCTCACCTGGTTCCCGAGGCCCCGGATTCCTGGACCAGCCTCTCACCTCCCATCTCTGCCCCATCCCGTCACTCAGCCCGATGTGCCGATTGCCCCTCCCAAGTTAGTCACCTATTGCTGCATAACAAATGACCCCAGCACCAGCGGTTGGAAACAACATTCCCCAGGTTTCTGTGAGTTGGGAATCCAAGAGCCACTTGGCTGGGCGGCCCGAAGTCAGTCACATGTCAGCAGGGCTACATCATCTAAGGCTCAGCTGGGGGCAAGGGGGTTAGGGGAGAACAGGAAACCTGCATAAAGCTCAGACCCCAGCTCATCATGGATCCACACCGCTTCACGAATGGTGACGAAAGTCCTTCGCCAGAGTGAGATGTTCTCAGTCCGGGAGGCTGGGCGCTGGGCACTGGGGAATTCTCTCTGCTGCGTCTTCGACTTCTCTGTGAATCAAACTGTTCTAAAATACAAAGTTGACTTAAATTAAAACAAAAAGTCCGGCTCCACCAGCTAGCCAGCTGTGGCGACTAAAGGGGAAAGAGGGTTTGCGCATCCACCAGAGTTTCAGGTTCCCATCAGGCATGCCTGTCCTTTCCTCTGCTCGTTTCTCCTGTGCATCCCCCCTTCTCGGTCGGCTCGGCCTGGGTGACATCCTGTGCCTCTCGTTCCCAAGGGACCCGAGCTCCCCAAGAACAGGGGCTCGGCCCTGCTCAGCAGCGGGTCCCCAGCACAGATGCGGATTCAGTAAATACCTGGGGCGGTCCTCGCTCAGAGGCCAGCCCTGTCGCTCGCCCGGGTTTGCCTGTTTGAGCCTCAGTTTCCCCGTATGTAAAATGGGCAGAACAGATGGCCGGCAGGATTGTCAAAATTAAATGGCATACAAGTGGAAAGTGTTTTCTGCAAACTCTATTTTGTCCATTTGGGGGTTCAGTAGAGTTCGTTTGTACAATTAGCACTGGTTCTCATCCTACCCCTTAAAAAATACTGGAAATCGGGGCGGGGAAAGGGGGATGTTGGGCTGGAATCAGTCTTGGGGTAAGGACAGGGGGTGCGGACGGCTTGTTCTGTCTGAGCCCTCCAATGTCGGCATGAGCCAGCAGCCCTGCTCCTCATCTACAGAACGGGGTAACATTCTGGGGAAGAAAAATTAAAAAATGACACGTTCTGGGCACGGGAGCGCTGGGAGCAGCTGGACAAACTCGGAGCAAAAGATAACGATGCTCCTCAAGGGCGCCAAAACGCCTGCCGAAACCCGGGATCGAACCAGGGACCTTTAGATCTTCAGTCTAACGCTCTCCCAACTGAGCTATTTCGGCCGGGCGGCAGAGGTCGCGCTCGCCTCGCCTCCGCCCCGCGCCGCGCCGCCCGCGCGCAGGCGCAGCTAGCTCCTCGCGGAAGGGCCGCGCATGCCTCGTAGTGGCGCGCGGGGGGCCGGGCCACAGCGCCGTCTCTGTGGCGCAATCGGTTAGCGCGTTCGGCTGTTAACCGAAAGGTTGGTGGTTCGAGCCCACCCAGGGACGGAGTGTAGCTTTTGTTTCCCGGCGGCGAGGAGAGAGCTGGTGGTGCGCCTGCTTTTGCCGGGGCACCGCCCTCGCACCCCCACATCCTTCAATCTCGCGTGGGGTGTCCGGGTGAGGCGTCCCCGGCAGCGGAACGCCCCGGACCCCGGTTCCAGTTTCCGCGCAGCCGCCGAGCCGCTTTGGGCGAAGGCCCGAGGACCCGGAGCGCTAAGGCGGACGGACCGCAGAGGTTGTCTGAAGGCCGAGGCCAAGATGGCGGCGCTGGCGGGTGCGCGGGTCGGGGACGGCGGGGTCAGGGGCGGCTCGGGGAAACTGAGGCCCGGGGAGGGACGACACAGGGCCCCAGCGTCGGAGGGTGCCCGGGGCGGGGGCCGGAGGGCCCAAGGCTCGGCCTGGGGTGCTGCCCTTGACCTCCCGGGGAGAGGCGGCGCGGGGGGCGCAGCCCCGCCGGGCGGGGAGACTGAGGCCGGGGGAGGGGCCGGGCGGGCGGGGAAACTGAGGCCGGGGAGGGGCCAGGCCGGCGGGGAAACTGAGGCCGGGGAGGGGCCGGGCTTTTGCTCCTAGCTCAGGGATTGAGCGCATGGGCCTGTGCAGGGAGGGGGTCCACAGGGAGACGCTACGAAGGGCAAGGGGTCGTATCCTTTTGGGGGGCTACGTCGTGTCGCCTGGAAGGCGGCCTGACAGCAGGTCCGATCCTGCTGGGTTTGGGAAGGGGGACGGGCACCGTGATCCGCTCTGCGTGGCCGTGTCTGCAGCCTGTGCAGCCGGCCCAGGACTCGCCTGTGGCTTCTGTTGGTAAAGCCTGGGTCTGGCTAACAGGCTGTGGCTTGTCAGCCACACTCGGAATTGAAGGGAAGGACAGTTGTCAGGCGTTGGGGACAACGGAGAGGATATCTTTCTCTCCCGTGCAAGGTCACGGGTCTGCCAAACCCCTGCCGGTGGCCCCGTGTTAAGATTCCGGGGTTTTAAGCAGGGGACCCACATTGTGGGTTCACGTTTCTGAAAGACCCCTCTGTACCATGCGTTTGTCAAGTGGAATTCGGACAGACGGAGGGTGAGCAGGAGGGTGTGCTGGCCGGGCGCCCCAGGGACAGACGCCGGCCCACAGTCAGGACCCTGCACGCAGATCCTGGCCCCTGAGTTTGTGCCCTCGGGGGCACTCACCGTCCCCGCCCTCTGGTTCTCTCTGCAGCTCCCGGCCTGCTCCGCCCGATCCTTGCCCTGCGGTGAGTTCCTGAGTCGGCGACCCTGACCGTGTCCACCCACCGAGAGGCCCTGGCAGGGAGGGTCAGGCGGGGGGTTTCGAAGTGCCTCAGAGCTGGGGGGGGGGCACAGCTTGAGCAGCATCACACAGGGGCCCACCAGCCAAGGGTCAAACGGTGGGTCAGGGTCAGCACTGGGGCCGGCATGTCCTCTCCAGCAGGTGGTGTTCGGGGCCCTCGGTGGGGACAGTCCATATGGTGGCAGGGTCGGGATTCACACCCACATCTGCCTGGCCCAGTGCCCTCCACACTCACTCCGTCCGTGTCGCAGACGCACGCGGTGCATTTGCTCAGATGGCAGGCTGGCCACCGGGCACTCTGTGGGCAGAATCCCGAAATCGAACCCCCAGTGCCGTGGGACCAAGGACGTGGCAGATCTAAGGACGAGGTCTTGCTAGTGGAGGGGAGCTGGGGGCTTCGAGGAGAGTGTGGATTTGGGCTGACGTCGTTCTATAAGACCTTTTTCCTGGGAATAAAATACATAGTCTCTGTAAAACAAAGGGAAAAACAGGAGAAGCATCAAATGAAAACCGGGCACCCTCTAGACCAGGGGTCGGCAGACTTTTTCCCTAAAAGCCAGACGGTCACAGAATTGTGGTTACTCAGCTGCGGCAGCGTGAAGACGGCGGCAGGCTGAGTGCCAGTGAAACTTCTCGTTACACAAACAGGCGGTGGGCCTGATTTGGCCCCTGGCCTCGGTTTCCCCATCCTGGCTCCAGAGAAGCCTGTGTCACAGCGTCTCAGGGGCCCGGACTCCTCTTCACGTGTGCCCCCTCTCTCCGCAGCTCTGGGGTGGGCGCCGCTTTGCAGACGCGAGATGTCCATGCAAGCGTGGCCACCGAGGGCCCGAGCAGGTGAGGCTGGCCTTCCCCGGGGCCTGAGCACCCCGCAGCAGCTGGTGGTGATGTCAGGGCCTGCCCCCCACTTGCTCTGCCCCTGGAGCCCTGCGCAGCCCCCTTCTGCACGTCCAGGCTTCTGGCTGCACGTGCCAAACCAGGACGGCCTGCGATGAAAAGTGTGTCAGCCGAGCCACTGTTTTCCCGATGGGGAGGGCTCTCAGTGCTGCCCCTGGGCTGGGCTGAGACCAGGCTTCATCCTGCCTTCTGGGAGGCTCCTCTTGGCCGGGCCCCGGGGTGGGGGCTGTGGCGGCGGCTGGCGCCTGCCCCCGGGTGCCTGCCTGGCTGATGCCTCTCCCTGTCCCTCATCCTGTGCCCAGCACCCAGCCAGCCATGTCCAAGGCCGGAGCCGTGGTCCCCAAACCCACCGCGCTTCCCAGCAGCCGGGGAGAGTATGTGGTGACCAAGCTGGACGACCTCGTCAACTGGGCCCGCCGGGTGAGCCCCAACCCCTCCTCCGTCCCTCGGGCCCCCCACCGTGAGCTCGCACACACGCACGTGCTCATGGGCGATGCACACGCACGCTGGCCCTGTGGCCCATGGAGCGGGCTGGAGTCCCCCGTGGCCCCTCCCCACGGGGACCCTTGAGGCTGTGGTTCTGTCTCGGGCTCCATGTCTGTCCGTGTCCGGCAGCTCCTGGCCCTGACGTCCCCTGGTGCTGCCTGCCCGGCCTCCTCGTCCCTCCCTCAGCCCCCAGATGGCCGCCCCGCTTCTGTCGCTCTCCCTCTCTCCTGTTCACTCCTTTTTTCTCTCTTTTAATGTAAAAGTTGTTTTTTTAACTGGAAAAGTAACACACCCTGAGAACAGTAGCTGCTTCCTGGTGAGGATCCTAAACACCCCCCACCCCCCGTGTCGGCCACGGGGCAGTTGCTCCTCCTTTAACTTGCGTGCGTGTCCCTGGCTCCCGCTGGACACGTGTCCCGAGCACGGGACAGCGGCTCCTTTCAGTGCCTCTCAGGCGCTGGCGGGGACGGGCCGCGGTCAACAATGCCCCATTGACGGGCGGGCGTCGTCTGTCTCGTGTCTACGTAACAATGGCACTGCAGTGGACACCCTGCCACGGCCCGCAGCCCCAGGACGCGATGTCCCCTGTGGCCTCGCGTATAACCAGGAGCCCCCAGGGACACTGCCAGGCCGGCCAGCTCAGCACGGGTCAGGTGGCCCTGCCACGGGCAGCCTGCCATGCCTGCTATGTGGCTTGAGTGCTGTCACCCACAGTAGGACGTCTGTGGGACAGCAGGGGCCACTTTGGGTCCCCGACTCGGCACAGGGGAGCACAGCCGTGGGGGCAGCGGGCAAGCAAGCAGCCGGAGGGGACGGGTGCAGGGCAGCCAGGAGGGCTTCCTGGAGGAGTCAGCCCCTGGAGTCCTTGGGCCCCAGCAGGTGTTGGGAACGAGTCCTCGCAGGGCTGAGCCCCCGCATCCAGGCCTGTGCACATGTGCCCACTGGACGCCGGGAACAGGAGGGCCCTGGTGGAAATGGGATCAGGGTGCCCCGGGCTACGTGAGCACGTTAGTAAAAGGAACCTCACCTGGGCTTGTTAACTGGTCTTTTTTTTTTTTGGTAACGTGGCTGCTGGGAAGCGTTGGCCACAGGCCTGGCTCTGTCCCTTCCTGTCGGGCAGCCCTGGGCCTCCAGGGCCTGGGGGTCACGTGGTTGCTGGGGGGGGTCCCTGGCCCAACATTGTTCTTGAAGAAAAGCGAGAAGTCTAGACTTTGCTGTGAAATCGCCCGGTTTCTTTGGACCCAGTGGGCCAGGTGTGCGCTCACAGCTAACCTCCCGTCTGCCCCCGCAGAGCTCCCTGTGGCCCATGACCTTCGGCCTGGCCTGCTGTGCCGTGGAGATGATGCACATGGCGGCGCCCCGCTATGACATGGACCGCTTCGGCGTGGTCTTCCGCGCCAGCCCGCGCCAGTCCGACGTGATGATCGTGGCGGGGACGCTCACCAACAAGATGGCCCCTGCGCTCCGAAAGGTGGGCCCACCTGCCACCCACTGCCTGCCTGCCACCTGTTGCCCGGCCCAGCCCGGCCATATGCCGACCCCACCGTTTCTTCCAGGTCTATGACCAGATGCCGGAGCCTCGGTATGTCGTGTCCATGGGGAGGTGAGTGACGCTCTATGAGAGCCCCCTGCAGGGCAGGACCGTGACTGACGCATCTGCGTGCGCGGCCAGCCCAGTTTCTGTCGTTTCTCTGCTCTTGAATGTGCCCCGCATCCTGCTCTGTGGACCGCCCCGCTCTGCACCCTCCTCTCCTTTCTGACTTGCCGTCATCTCCCAGGCATTTCCCCACGTCCTTAACAGCTGGTCAGTCCTTAATTGTTTTGTTGAGATGGAATTCACGTACCGTGAGGTTCGCTGCCTTCAAGTGTGTAATTCCTTGCGTTCACAATGTTGTGCACCTATCATCTCTAATTCCAGAACATTCCATCTCCCCAAAAATAGCCCCGTCCCTGTCAGCAGTCACTCCCCGCCCCCTCCCCAGCCCCTGGCCCCCACGAGCCCGCTCTCTGTCTGTGGATCTGCCTGTTCTGGACGTTTCACGTCCGTAGGATCACACACCGTGTGTCCTTCTGTGTCTGCTTGTCTCCCTGAGCGTCATGGGTTCAGGGTCCGTCGTCTTCTTGCTTCTGCCCCACCTGGTCCCACAGGAGGCCTCAGGGCCGTGTCTTTCCTGTGGCTTCGTGTCCGGTCCTTGTCCTTTGCTGACAGCCGGGCACCCACTTGTGGTTGGAGGTGGGGGGGGGGTGCCCCGAGGCGGGAGCAGGCTGGTGGCTGCATGGCCCTCACGGCACCCTCCCCTCCAGCTGTGCCAACGGTGGCGGCTACTACCACTACTCGTACTCCGTCGTGAGGGGCTGTGACCGCATCGTGCCCGTGGACATCTATGTCCCAGGTGAGTCGCCCCCGTGTCCCGGGCAGGAGGGAGCCAGCAGCAGGCTCTCCCCGTTTGAAGGAGAGCAGATTTGGGTCCAAGAGGAAGAGTGACAGCCCGCCTTCGCCCCGCTGCCGCCGAGGGGCTCCCCCTCCCCGGCTGAAGCATCATCTATTGGTGCGGATGTCGGGCCAGGCCTGGGCCGGGGGCTCACACAGGGCCGTGCGGAGCTGCCCACGCGTGGCCGCTTTTCACCTGCAGTTCACACGGTTCCGCCTCGTGGAAACAGAACCAAAGAAACTCGGTTCAAAGACACCAGGAGGTTCCTGGAGACCAGAACGGCGTCAGCAGTCATCCCGACGGGTGGTGGGGCTCCTCGGGCACCGAGAGCCCCAGGGGCCCAGTTCAACGTGGACGTCAGGGGAGCACCGGGTGGTTACTTTTTGGTCTGAGTGCGTCCCACACGACATTGAGACACACTCACACTAAAAGGGATCGGCCGGCGGCCTGAGCTCACGCATAGCGGGCGTGCTTTATTTGTGTGGCCGCCCTGTGCGGCTCCCACGCTACACACGGTCGGCGGGGCGGCCTCCCGAGGCGTCTGCCCTGATGGGGTCAGGGGTCAGGTCAGGCAGTGGAGTTGACCCTGGGGACGGGACAGAGACGCCCGGTTCTCGTCTGTCTGGTCCTGGGCTCTCAACGCGGGCGCAGAGCCCAAGGCAGAGTCTCCAGAGAGCAGAGGACACTGCGGGCCACGATTCCACTTCATCCAGACCAGTCTCAGCCACGTTCTGGCACTTCGCAAATAGCTGGAGAGACGGGTCCTGACACTGACTTAGAGTTAATTGGAATAAGGTGTTGATTTGTTTAGCATTCTGCAAATGTTTATTGAGTGCCTTTTCCAAGCCTGGAGCTGGCTTGGCAGCACTGGGCCCCAGAGAGGCCTCAGGCTAGGAGACAGAGGCTGACCCACATGCCCAGCCCTGTTGGGTGGGGTGGGCACAGTGGATGGGGCTTTGAGAGATGCATAGGAGTACACCCTGTGAGCTTGTTAACCTTGACTGGGAGCCAGACCTGTGGTCGGTTACTGCTTGATGCATGACCTCAGGCAAGTCTCCTCTCCTCTCGGAGCCTCAGTTTCCCCTTCCATCCAGTGGGGTTGTTGCAACAGTACTGCCAGGCATGGAGCCGGGGACCTGGGTGGAGCGCACCAGGGCCAGCTGGAAATAAGTGACTGTGACAGTTGTCTAGCCGGCACCTGGGGTTGTGGTCGGCCTTCCTGGGGTGTCAGGTCCGGGGCTGTTCCTCCAGGTGGCAACATGCCTCTCTGCCTTTTCCAGCCGGTGCGATAGGACAGGGGCTGGGGGGCGTTTCCGCAGGGCTTCCCTTCGTCTGCGGACCGTGTGGGACTCCCTCTACTCTCCCCCGCCCCCCACTCCTTTCCAAGGGTTCCCCTCCAGGGCCCAGTGTGGCCGGGGGTCAGTGGGCAGCCCGACCTCGTCCTCTAGGGGACCTTGAGCAAGGTCCTGGGGGGCCGTGGATGGGGTGGCTCAAGCCTCCCCACCACCCATGTCTTGGTGAGAGGTCAGTCCTTGGGGTCACCACCTGCCCGGGTCAGGAGCTTGGGCGCTGGGCCCTCCAGCCCTACATGCAGCCTGAGGGGCGCCAGGTGGGGCCCCGTCTCGCCCTCCCGTGGGGCAGAGCCAGAGGCGCCAGTGGGCGGGAAGCTGAGGCCCGTCTGCCCACAGGCTGCCCGCCCACGGCCGAGGCCCTGCTGTACGGCATCCTGCAGCTGCAGAGGAAGATCAAGCGGGAGAAGAGGCTCCGTATCTGGTACCGCAGGTAGCGCCGGCCCGCCCGGCCTTCCACCACGCCCACCACCTCGCCATCCCGCCGGAGAGATGCTCAATAAACCGGACAATGCCATCGGCTGTGCTGTTTGCATGGTGTGCGGGCGGAGGCCGGGGAGGGCCAGGCCGGGCAGGTCTCACTGTCTCCTGTGTGGGAGACGTGGGGGCCCCGGAGGCAGATGGCCGGGCACTCAGCCTCCCCAGGAGCCCCGTGAGTGAGGGTGTGGACGGCAAGAGGCAGCTGGGGCGGGGCAGCCAGCTAGGTGTGGGGGCCCCGGGCACACAGAGCCGGTGGGGGGTTGGAGGGGCTCAGGTCAGAGGAACAGACTGGACGGTGGGAGGGTCAGGGACCTCCTGGGGCCGTGCCCGCAAGTGACCCTGCCCAAAGGGCCGGGAGAGGGCACTGGGGGTGGGTGCAGGGCGCGAGGCCGGTTGAAGGTTTTGCTCTGTTTCATGGTTCCACCTGACTGGGTGCGACCAGGGACCCTCCGCAGTGGCTGGAGGACGGCTGTGCCCCCACCCCCTGTGCAGCCCTGACCTAGTTCGGCCCCCTCTGGACCCCACGTGCCAACAGGAGGGAAGGTGGGAGGGGCGGGGGATAAAGGAGGCACACGGTTCCGTCCGGCCGCCCGGTGAGGCCCAACCTCCGCATTTATTTCGTTCTCCGGCCGGGAGGAGGCCGAGGGGCCGCAGAGTCAGGGATGGTGCCCGGCCTTGCACAGCGGGTGCGGCGGACTGGACCCCAGGCCGAGAGGCCAGCGCCTTCGCTCCCGGCCAGAGGCACTGAGTCGAGGTCACAGGGTCACGGGCCGGGCTCAGTGCTTGGTGACCCAGGGCGTGAGCATGCGCGGGAAGCTGTAGTAGCGACACTCAGCCGGCGGGACCAGCTCCATCACCTCTGTGCGGATGTTCTCACGCAGGAAGCCCGCCTCCAGCAGGGCCGGCACCTGTGTCTCCTGGGGGCGGGCGGGCACCTCAGGAGATGCCCCTGGCACCGCCCCGCCACTCCTGGGACAGCACGGACAAGTGCCAAGGCCCTACCCCGGGCCCAGCTGCCGACCCAGATGATCCAGAACCCTGGTCTGGATGGGCTCCCCAGGGGTCCAAACTCAGCTTGGGCAGTGGCTCCCTGGTGGTCACCAGGCGCCACCAGGCTGCCCGCCTGCACATCCTCACAGGCAGAGGGGACAGCATGGGCGAAGGCCCTGGGACCAGCATGGCTGAGCCAATAGAGTCCCTGGGGTGGAGGAGGCCTGTCCACGGGTGGGAGCCTACAGCTGGCCTGTCCCCGGACCCCAGGGATATTGGGGAGGGCCCCTGCCCGAGCCCCAAGTGGAGGCGCCCAGGCCACCCAAGAGATCACCCAGGGACCCTCCCCGGGTCGCCTGCTGCCTGGGATGGGGTGGGGCCGGGGCTCGGGCGGCACACCTCGAACATGGCGGTGATGTCCGAGTACTTGGACCTCAGCAGCTCCCCCCAGGAGGTGAGGTTGCAGTAGGTGAGGACGCCCCCCGGCTTCAGCAGACGAAAGGCGTGGGCCTGGGGCGGGGACAGCGGTCAGGACTGAGGTCCCGGGAGCGGCCCTCGAGGCCACTGTCGCAGAGACAGGAAGGAGAGCCGCCCCGGCCAGTCCCCGCCCCCGCACTCCTACCCTGATGAAGTTGAACTGGTGCGTGTGCCAGGTCTCCTCCGACAGCGGGTACGTGTCGTACAGGATCCCTGCACGGGGGTGGCGCCGTGAGGTCAGGGCAGTGGCTGCGGTGGAGGCCGGACGCCCACATGCCAGACCCCAGGGCAGGCCGCGAGCTCCCCGCACTGCCACAGCCTCCTCTGGGCGCCGGGCCCCACCCAGCGGCTCCTTGAGGTATTAACCGCGCACTCCCGAGAGCCAGGCCCTCTGGGTCCCTTCCCACCCCGGTGTCCCTCCAGTGACACATGAGTGTGTGTGCTCCAGAGGGTCCCTAAGGGTGGTAATTGAGGCAGAGGCTCCCCTCGCCTGCTCCCAGGTCCCCTCACCGTCAAAGTGACCGTCTGGCAGGGTGGGCGCCACCTCCTCCCACAGGCCTTTCAAGGGAACCACCTTGGGGCAGGGGAGGAAAAGAGAAGGCTGAGGGTCAGAGAGGACCCCATGATTTCCCCACCTGATGTAAGGAAGGGGGCCGAGGAGCTCCGGGGGAAGACCACCTTCCCCATCTCTATGGCGCCCCAGGCCCCCAACTCCCCCCACCAGGGACAGGACCTTGGCCCCAAGCAGCAGGGCTGACCGGGGCCTGCAGCAGAGGCCGGCACCTTGTGCGGCTGCCGAGGCGCCCAGTCCTGGAGCCGCCGGAAGACGCCGTCATTGCACTCGATGATCCAGTGCTCCTCGATGGGGGCCTCCTGCACCTTGGAGGCCGCGATGGCCATGCCGAAGCCCACCTCCAGGACGCGGCCCCCTGGGCAGACAAAGGGCGCGGGCATCAGGTGCCAGGCAGGGGCTGGGGAGGCTGCCTGGAGGAGGGGACTCAGGGGCGGGGCCTGGGCAGAGAAACAGTTGCCACAAGGCTGAGGGCACAGCGGGGCACAGGCGGGCGGCGGGAGGGAACAGCGTGGGCCCTGGCTGGCGGCCAGAGGATGAGGGGCCGAGGCGGGGCGGACGCTGGTTTTTGGGCCTGGCCCCAGGGGGAGGTCAGACCCTGGACTTTGAGCCCTTCCCCTGCTGTTTGCGCTGGTGGCACTTATCTCTTGATTCGGTTACTTTCCCCATCCCCCAGGGGAGTGCGCGCGAGAGAGACGGGCTAGGGAGGGTTGGAGGCCCCGCCTGCAACATGGGGGGTTGGTCCCCATTGGACCACAGAGGGGCGGAGAGAAACGCCCTAACGGTGCAGGGACACGGGATGCGCCCACTTGCCAGGTGGGAACACGGAGTCCCCCAGGCCCCGCGCAGCCCCTGGGGGCCCTGGGGTGCCTGGCACCCCTGCGGCTCTGACGCCCGGCGGCGCGGGGCCACCCCGACAGCTGCCTCCCAGCCTCAGCTTTCCCGAGCTATTCTTAGCCGGGGCGGGGACTCGGGCAGGAACTGGCCCACGTGCGCTGGGCAGCGCCCTCGCCACCGCGGCCCCGGGCCTCAGGCCCCGCGGGGGCGGCGCAGAGGGCACCCGGGGTCCCGAGTCTCAGGGCCCATCCCCTGACCCAGTGCGTGCCCATCCCTGGGGCGCGGGCCTCGTCACCCCTGGAGAGGAAATCCCCGGTACTCAGGGGGCGCCTACTGTGTGCAAACCCCGCGCCTGCAGCACCCCCTTCCTCCGTCGCCCCGCGCTAGCAGAGGATGAGGGGCCGAGGCGCGGCGGACGCTGGTTTCCAGGCGAGGAAACAGAGGCACGGAGCGGCCCCGACGCGCACCGGCCGGAGCGCGCCCAGCCCCGGTGTCCCTGCGCGCGCGGCGGGCGCGGCCGGTGCGGGCCGGGCGGGGACGGGCCGGGCGGGGGCTACCTCTGGAGGCGGCGGCGGCCGCGAGCGCGTGCATGTAGGGGGTCTCCCAGCGCTCCATCACCGGCTTGCCCAGGATCTGCAGGTGCGCGTCCGACGCATCGTAGGCCGCGGGCGCCGCCTGCCACGCGGGGCTGCAGTCCTCGCCGGGCGCGAAGATGGGGGGCGCGGCGCGGGCGCTCATGCTGCCGGCTGGACGGCTCGCCCCGGACTCGGCTCC